TTCCGTAGACGCTTGTGTTGAGGACGATCCTGCCGTTTTCTCTTTCTTCTTCAAGAAACTCCACGATGATCCTTTAGGCCCCAAATTGGTAGTTAACGATGAAGTTCCCTATTCTTTTTTATCTGTGCTATATTTTGCTTCATACAAACTAAAAACCTTTTCTAAGATTTTCTTAGCGTTAGTAGTACTTAGTTGCATATCTATTTCTAAATTCTCTGCGGTAGCAGTCATCAATGATTCAATTCCATCTACTCCGCACCTAGGATCTAAAATGGTTGCCAATGCATATAACATAGGACAACCTGACCAATAACTTTTAAATTTATTTTCCATTAAGTTAACTATATTTCCAAAAAGTTATGTATCCCTATAATAAGAAAATATTTCTGAAATATTAAATAGTTGATGTAAAGCTAAATGTGCAGTAGGATAATAAACTCCAGAAAGTAATTCAGTAGCATTATAAAAAACTTCTAGAAATTTAAAAAAATACTCAGCAATCTGCCAATCAGGATCGAAAATTAAAATTTGATCATTCTTACTGTTTACGTATGTCGTGATAAGCTGTGAATACGGGAGTGCTGCCTTCAACATTAAATATGTTGAATTCAACCTATGTCTCACGTCAGTTGGAAACTTTCTTGGGCGCATCTGGCTGTTCCTGCAATATTGTTTGAATTCTTGGAGCCGAGCTCTAGAACTAGATATGAATGATAATGATTCTCTAATATTTGTAAGATTAGCTGAGATATGTTCAATTCTTGCCTGAACTACTAAATTAATTATGTGACATGCACACCATTGATGAAAAATTTCCCCTTCAAATGCTGATTTCAAACTACGTTTAAACAGATTAATTGCGGTTGTATTAGCTGACGCATTATCAAAAGTAATTGTTAAAACTTTATCTTCTATCCAATAAAACCCAAAAATTTCCATTATTGTACTAAAAATAGCTATTGCGTTATGAGGATATGGACATAAATGAAAACTAATTATTCTTTTTTGTAAAACTCAATCGTCATCAAAGTAGTGCGCTGTGACACATAAATATCCAGTTTTATTGTACCCCTCCCACAGATCAGAAGTGTAAGAGACAGTAACATTAAAAGTCCTAAAATTATCAACAAGAGATTGTCTCATTGCATAAAAAAACTTTCATGTAATCAGAACGAGTTGTGTTTCTACTTACCTGTTTAAATTGTGGGCAAAAGGATGTCTGGATGAATTCTTCGAACAAGGCATCATCTGCAAAAGAAAGAGGCAATTCGGCACTAGGGAGAAATTTAGCTAGTGCCTCACGAGCACGTTGTGCATCATATATAAAATTTTGTAACCCCTGTGATGTGAGTGATAGCGTTTGTTGGCGGGAGTCCACACTCCCACCTTAGTGCAACAGTAGACATACTTTCCAATGTCTATCCAAAGGACCAGTACCCCTACCCTTTTTATTAGAAAAGTGTTTTTTACAATATTTACATACTGCACAAATTTTCATCTCACTTGTTTTTAGACTTGGTCGGGGCTCCTCGGTGAAATGCTACCATGTTGGAGAAGTTCGCGGTCTTTTTCCTCTGCTGCGTTCTCCAGCTTCCTCGTTGTGTACTGAAGCATTATCCACCGGAGCATTTTCTGGTTCAGTGGGGGTGGGGTTAGGAGGCATCATTTCTTCCTTAAAAAAAGCTTCATCACCAAGCTCAGGAATAGTAGTGAAATCAGGAAAGTTTGGTGCGGCAATTTTGTAGAAATTGATAGAACTTGATTGAACTTTGTAAATGAAAGAGCTAGAAAATGAATGAACGCGAGAAAAAAAGCTTAGAATCAAAATCAAATAGACAAGTTGAGAGATAGAATGAGAGTGAGATGAGAAGTTAAGAGTGAATTGTTGTGAGATTTATGGTGGAATTAAGGGGTATTTTTGGATGGTTTGGATGGTTTCGTCATCTCTCCGTCAAATTCGGCCTTGGGGAAGTCGTGCTCTTCTTATTTCTTCAGCCTTTGTTAGATTCATGTACTTGCCCTCTCCATTTTTTATTTTTTTTTTCATTTTTTGGATGGTTTGGAATATTTGGATTTCTTCTTTTGGAGTTGTTGTTATTGTTGTTGTTGTTGTTGTTGTTTTTGGTACTCAGAATTTTAGTTTACAAAGGAAAGAAAGGAATTTGGTTTCTTCTTCTTCTCCGCCTTACTCTTGTCATCTCTCTGCCAAATTCGGCATTGGGGAAGTCGTGTTCTTTTCATTTCTTCGGTCTTCGTCAGATTCAGGTATTTGCCTTCTCCATTATTTTTTTTTTGTTTTTTGAATGGTTTGAATTTCTGAAATCTAAAGGATCCAATTCAAGCAAGTTTCAAATTCGAAAGTAAATTTTTTTGGAATTGGTAAAGCCAAAGGGGACAATTGCTTCGAATTTGAGTTTTGTTGCTTAAACCTTATTATTTAAACTAATTGGGCCTAATTCGCGAGATTCTCACATACGAAGGATGGCGGCGCGCAAAATATTAGAGAAACAAATATGACTTGGCTTAACTAGAGGTTAAATAATAACTATGAGTAAAGATGGAAAAACTGAGTGTTTTAACTTATTTTTTCGCTTCAATCTTATTATTTAAAAAGAATTGAGCCTAATTAGTGAGATTCTCACATATAAAGGACGATGAAGGGCAAAATATTAAAAAAAATAAGCACATATGGCTAGGCTTAACTCTAGTAAAGTAAAAACCACATCTAAAGTTGGTGGGGCAGATAATGACATATATTATGTACAGCCCAATCCATAGTTCAAGTCGCACACTCTCTTAGTTCATTTTATCTTCGAAGAATTCACTTCACCTCTTCAAATGCACTAATACCAGTTGCTTGGATATAAGTATTGTCTTGTATCTCCAAAATTTGAAAAGCTTTACTTGACATCTCAATTATTTTTCAATTTAGCCATTGATACGAGAAAGATTTATTAGAAAAATCAAATGATATAATGTGAATTATAAAAAATAAATAAAAAGTTATTTGTAAGAGAAATACTTTTGTAATTATGAAGGTTAAAAAATGGAGGTCAATAAGGTTAGTCTCCAAATCAGGCAGTGGCTAACAAAATTCCCATCTCAAAAAAATAAAACAGATAAAAGATTGGACGTTTGTATAAGCAGATTGACTTTTCTTCTACATGCGAGATCTGATTTGTTCATATCTTCCAGCAAAAACCATTAAAACTTCAACGACCAATTAATGACCCCAGATTCGTGAACTTAACGTGAACCCGCTTGCAGGTAAACACGCCGAATTACAGAATCCAAAACTGCATATTCTAGATTCCCCCAAGTGACGGCGGGTCCCATGAAGACAGACGTGGTACTTTCCATTTGACGATTGCCTTCCACGCGCCAACTCAGCGAATGGTGCAAGAAATGATGACGTAGGAGACCGTACCGAACTAAATGGATTAGGACAAATACATGGTTGGCCCTTCGAGGCCGTGAGGAGCCACTCTTTGTGAGTGTTCTGGCCTCCAAGGTGAGGACAAATCTCACGCCATGTTCCAGAGCGTGTGCACGCGCGAGAGATTCCTTTGCCCTCGGAAAACCCAGGTATATTCGATGAGAAAGAGCGTTATTGCTAAAAAAAAAAAAAAACGTTTAAGATATTAAAAATATATAAATATCATCTTTTGAGAAAGAGAGAAATAAGTAAAAAATAAAAAAAATTTCTACTAAAGCTCTTGAAAAAATTCAGTAGCTCTCTGCTTATAACATCTTGGTTAGAAATTCTATGTTCCATTTTTTCTATTTGATCTGGAAATTGTCTGTTCTTTTTTTTTATTTATATAATTTTAACAGTATTTAGGGCTCATTTAAAGGAGAGATTCAAATTCACACCAAACTGGTTTAAATAGTATTTTTTTCATAAAAATTTAAATTTAAAATGTTATATTATAATGTCTTCTATTATAAAATTTGAATTCTAGTACTTTAAAAAAAACAACTCTTGGGCCTTATTCATTTCATGACGTAAATTATATTATAATAGTATTTTCTCTCATAAAAATTTAAATTTAATTTTTTTATTACAGTATTTTTTTTCATATACATAACTCAAATCATAATTTGGGTTATACAAATAAACATGAGAGATTCTCTAGTACAAATGATGTACTGATAGATTAGATTTTTTAACCGTTGAATCCGCATATTTATTTTACTTTTATGTGATTTTATACAAATCTAATAAATAAAAACTGAATTTACTACTATATTAATGTAGCCAAAAAAACCCTAATAAACATACCCCTAATGTTTAAAAACAAACATTACCAACAAAAAATCCTACAGTAAAAACACCTAAATAAAAAATTAAAAAAAAAGAAAGAAGTCTTTGATCTTATCCGAAAATAAAATATAAATTAACAGAAAAGATAAAAGAAAATTAAATAGGGTGGGTGATGACGTCACTGCCAGCCCACAGATAGGAGACGAAAAGGGAATCACCCCCTCGAATATTCAACCTAAGAAAACCCACTCTCGCTATTATTTCTTTCCTCCCTCTCTCTAGGCAGCAAAAAAAAAAAAAAAAAATATATATATATATATATATTATTATCATAATCAGAAAAATCCAATCAAAGATTCGTTTTTGTACGCGACGCCCCGACCTCGGTGTCTTTCTCTCTCTTTCTTATTACACCGTCCGATTAAAATTGTCTTTAAATATTCCCTTTTTCACTCCGACTTTTAATTACCATTTCTTTTTATAAATAAATTTCGTTTTGTCAAATAAGTTGTTGAGTTTTGCTTGGTTGGCAAGATTATTCCCTGTCTTGATTCTACATAGATCCCATATGCGTCTCTCTGAAAGGCCATTACCCCAAAACCCAAAAAAGAAAAAAAAAAACTTTAATTTCTTTCCCTTGTTCGGATCGATCTATTCTTTCTCACACCATATATATACACAACCACCTTTCTCATTTTCATACTCAAAACAGAGGAACAAAGAAAAAATAGCAAAAACCCAAATAACCAAAAATAAGTGAAAAAAAAAAGAACATGGATTTCTCAGAAAAAATGAACTATTCAGGACTTGGGTTCCGAGAGTATGTTGAAACTTTAGAGGAAGAAAGGAAAAAGATTCAGGTTTTCCAGAAAGAACTCCCTTACTGCTTGGAACTTGTCACACAAAGTACTTATATTACACTTTTTTTTTATTAAATTTCATTTCTAGACCTATTTCTTCTTTCTTCTTCTCCAAATTTGTTTATTTATTTATTACATTATTTATTTGGTTTGTAGCCATTGAGAGATGTAAGCAACAATTATCAGGAACGGCGACGACCACAGAGTGCTTGCATGGGCAATCGGAGTGTTCGGAGCAGACTTCAAGTGAAGGACTTGTTTTTGAGGAGTTTATTCCTTTGAAGAGAACGTCTTCCGATAATGAAGATGACGAGGATGAGGAGCAGCAATCTCCTAAGCGCAAGACCAGCATCAACAACAATAACATGGCTGATAACAAGAAGAAAGCGGATTGGCTTAGATCTGTTCAGCTTTGGAATAATCCAACCCCAGATCCAGCACCACAAAAAGAGGTATAAAGAAAAAAGGAAAGCAGATTTTTTTTTTTTTTTTTTTTTTTACACCTTTACTAAAACTGGGAAAGTATTTTTTTTATCTTTTTAACTTTACGTTGATTTTGTGTGCTTTTTTTTTTTTTTTTTGGTTGTAGGATGTGCCTAAAAAAGCTTCGGTTTTGGAGGTGAAGAGAAATGGGGGTGCTTTTCAGCCTTTCCAAAGGGAGAAAAATGTTGGCAAGCGTAATGGGTCGCCGGCGCCGGCGCCGGCTCCAGCGTCTGCTCCGGCGGCGAGTTCGAGTTCTGGCAAGAGGGATGATGAGACGGAAGGGCAACAGAGTCAGAGGAAGCAGAGGAGAAATTGGTCGCCTGAGTTGCATAAGAGATTCTTGAATGCCCTTCAACAACTTGGTGGTTCTCATAGTATGTATTCAATTTTTCTTTTTTTTTTCTGGAGTTCCTAATTTGATTGGATTATTATGGATTTAATTGGGGTTTAATTTTTATTTAATTAAATGTATATTGATATATATATATATATATATATATATTGATTGTTATTGCAGCTGCTACTCCAAAGCAGATTAGGGAGCTGATGAAGGTTGATGGGTTAACAAATGATGAAGTCAAAAGCCACTTGCAGGTTTGTGTTATATGTGATTATCTTGTTCCAATTGTTAATGTACAATTGGTGTATATCAATTTTTTACAATTTATCATGTGATGATTTTTCGTAATAAATTGTCATTTAAAAGTTTTAGGAGATTGGGGATATTTTAACAATTAATCAAAGCTATTGTTTTATTGGTCCTGATTTAAATATAAATTTCTAGCAGTATAACCATGTGTTTGCTGATATACTTTTGCCTTTAAGAAATCTTAAATATGCAATATGCAGCACAGTTAACTCTTCAGAAGACGTAGGTCATACTGTAGAACTACTCTAATAGGTACCCAAAAAAAAAAAAAAACACAAAAAACAATTGTACATGAAAAGGACCACTAAGCAAAAACATGCTTCTTTGACTTATGTTTTGTGAATTGGAACCTATTTGTATGTAATGTTTTTCAAGTGTCAACAAGTGTTGCATGATTTCTACCAATATATATATATATATATATGTTGCATGATATTAAGTGCCAATCACCAAACTTTGTTAGAGTTTATATGAAATTCAATTCTCAATTTGCATTGTGCTTAAACAATGTGATAAGTAATAACCTATATGATCTTCCATTTTATTACAGAAATACCGTTTGCACACTAGAAGACCAACTCCAGCCACCCCAAACAATGGCAATGCACAAACGCCACAAGTAGTTTTTGTGGGGGGCATATGGGTGCAGCCCTCTGAATACGCCGCGGCAGCTGCATCAGCTGCAGCATTGGGCGATCCCTCCAGCGTCACCACCGCTGCCAACAGAATCTACGCACCCGTGGCAGCACCGCCGCCCGCAATCCAGCACATGGCGGTCCACAGACCGCAGCAAAAGAAGCAGTCCGATTCCTCTCATTCCGAAGAAAGGATCAGCCATAGTGGAGGTGTCCAACATTCCAATTCCCCAGCCACCTCATCCTCCACTCATACGACCACATCTTCCCCTGCGTTTTGATCTTCTTATTTGAGAATGATTTAAAATTTTGTAACCAGTATGTGCAATAGAGAAAAGTGTTATATGACCACACACCATGCTGACTGTTTTCTTTCGTTCTTTTTTACATTCTCTCGTTCTTGCTGGACTGAAATGGGAATAAAGTTAAACAACATACTGAATTCGAAAGAGGAAATATTACTCTGGTGCTTAGGCTCATTCTGGCCATTTCTTAATTTTGATTTAGGTATCTAACATATATGCCTCTTCAATTTTTCATGATTGATAAGGCACTCCCGAAATTTTTATAAAATTTTGAAAAAATCCCTTATAAGTTTAAAAAAAATATCAAGAACATTTTCAAATTATTGATGACCATTAAAATTTGGATAAAAATAGCTTCATACATGTTACATGAGCTTATGTCAAGAAATAGATGAAAAATTTAGATAACGATCAAAGTTTTATAGGATATATCCATCGATTTGACACTCTAAACATTTTATTAAATTTATGTGATGATTTGCCACATTTAAAACTAATTTCCTTGAATACACATTACATGAGCTTTTATAAAAGAAGAGATTGAGAATTCAGATAACAATCAAAGCACGTCATAGCAAATGCATGAGAACATTAATTTCCTTCCAAATTTTAATATTATCCATCAATGTGGACATTCTTAACATTTTATTGAATTCAGGTGGTATTTGCAACAATTAAAAAGTTCATGAAGTAACTTGTCAGTTTAGTCATAGTTGAGGGGGCGAGAAAGAAAAAAAAAAATATTGATTTTTTTTTAGCCTCTCCTGTTTGTGCGATCTGTGATGGTTAATTATGATTCTGTTATATCAACCAGTGTGTTTATTACAAGTAATTCTATATAACTTTATTCTCATTTAAAACCTATTCTTAAATTGATGCGTTCAATTTTTTTTTTTTAAGTTATCCTATTAAACTTTGACATGTATTAATGGAATTTTATTCACTACATTAGGATAAATACAAGTGCTCGTTTACTGTTCTCATCATATCATTATTGCCAAAATATATCTTTTGAAAATATAAAGTACGTAGAAATCTATATTTTACAATGCGTTACATATGACAGATATTAGCTCACGAGGGGAAATCGAGCTCTGCACGAAAAGATTATATAATCAAATATTGAAAATTGACAATGAAGAATCTTGACCCGTGAGAAGTCTTTGTAATCAAGAAATGAACGAAATAAATATATATAGTTGAAGATATCCAATGCAATCTTCCATGAGCTATAGATGCCCCTAAAGCATATATAAGGTAGCGTAGAAGCCAAGCATTATCTTCGGATCAAAGGAAAAAATAAAAAATAAAAGCTTTTGAGAATGTTTTAGATAGTACAGTCTGTTCATTTATAAACATATCATGTTTTGACAAAAATATTTTCTTTTGTTTTTTTTTTTTTTTTTCCGTTTCTTTTTTGTCAATGCTTACCCACCAAAATAGACAAGTACTGCTGGCTGTATTAATAAGGTTTTGATATTGAAAATTTAGAAGTCAGTTTCTTGATCGTTGAAAAGTTCAGTATCTACTAACTTCCTCATGAAGTTGAGTGAATGGATTTTGGATCAGGTTGAGAAAGTTTAGATGGAACCAAAACCTGCACTGATCTATTCGCTTGCTTTGTCATGTGAATCGATACATGTGATCTCTTTTACGTTTAGTTGATGGATTTAGAATCATTCTCGATTTACGTGTATTTTTTGTGAGAGAAAATACTGTAGCGAGCCACGAACCATGATTCAAACTATGATACGAATCCTTAAACCAAACGCACTATATTATTCTATCTTGTTGAGGAACCCTCATTCACATAAGTACTAGTCTCTAGTATTTAAATTGAGACATGGTACGAAAAAACATTCAATCGCTACGTTTCAAACTATTAAATCGGTATTAAATTTTGTTAGTTTTATGTACTTTCATTTTGATGTGAGATTTGATGAACTTTAACGTTACAATACACGCACTAATAGATATATGTACCCTATAGTAAAAAAAAAATCCATTTAAACCTCTTATCATTATTATGTTTATATAAACCAAATATCTATAAATTTTAAAGACTAATGCCGATTTTAATTTACTCGTTGGAACCGTAAGTTTTAGTTTATGAAATTTCGCCGTAATTTCTTCATGAATATGATATTATATAATTGCTATTCGGCTATGCCCTTCATTGTATGCCACTTATTCGCACATTCGTGTGCAATATGAATATTCGTTATTCGCCAACTAAAGAAGCCATTTAACTGTATTAATACATAAATTTGAGCCATTCCCATAACCAAAGGATAAGTTCTAGGAGATCATGAAGGGTTATTGATTCAAAATTAACATGATCAAGTACTCACGCAAATGTCCAAAAGATTACACCCTCAAAAATAATGTCACGTACTTTGTTAAAGGTCATCAAAATAATCAAATCCACATGTAAAAACAAATTAAGCGTGATGCATATGAAATAATAATCAAATTTATCAGCATGAATAAAAGATTGTATTGAGGGGTACTATTATTTTTATTGTAAAACTGTCCAAAATGTTAGATTGGGACACTATGGCTTAAAAAATTGGAAAACCCAATTATAGCTTTCGTTACCCAACCAAAAGATAAGAGTAAGATGAAGAAAAGAGACGGTCCATCAAACAAAAGAAAGAAAAGGGCGAAAGAGACGGCTAAATTAAATGCCTGCATGGCGGTGGATCTGAATCATTTGTATAACGTGGCAACTTTGAGAATCTTAGTACAATTAAGGCCAAAGGAAAATATTATCATATTATTTTATGTCAACACCGGGCATATAGGACAATGCTGAGTGGCTGGAGAGGTTTTTCTAAAAGTGTAGAAAGAAAACAAAGAAATATTTTCTCCAGTGAAAACGTTCATTCCCATGGTACATTCCTGAATATTCCATTATTCTTAGGCCATTATAAGCTCACATGGGCATAGTTTACATGTATTTTTTTTTTAGGTAGGAATTAAATGTGCGATTAATATAGCTAGGTTATCATGATGACCAACAACAATGTGCTAGTATTTTAGTATATTCCCTATTTGTTTAACTTATCTTTTAGGTAAGGACGAGTATGGAAGATATTCTGATACCCAAAAATCTTGCCTTGTCCAAGATTCCATATACTGTTAGGAATGATATCCTAAAATGATGAGATGTAATATGATATTTATTATTTATTTAATAAAAGAGTTTATTCATTATTTTATGTGCATATATTTATGAATATTTTATGAATATCAATGAAAATTCTATGATTATTTATGTGACCTTAAACGTTGTATATAAGTGTTATATGCGAGAGGATAATGTTTAAGGATAATAATAAAAAACGTTGTTCGTAATGAATTTAATTAAAGTTCAGAATCTTTAATTAAAACATTACAAATACATGTCATTCCCATTTAGAATGGAACGGTGTTATCTGCACTGTTAATATGATGAGATATTGAATGAGTCTATTTCGCATAATGAGATTATGTGGAACAAGGACACAGACACAATATGAATTTCTAATAAATTCCGTGAAGTATAGAAATTCTAATTGAGTCTGCCGATGATCATATATAGAATGATCTCAATCCTGAGTTCTTAGCAGACTCCTATTTATGGATTTGTATCCTTTAATTTACTTGGTACGGATTTCGAGATCCTGAATCATATTCCTTGTATTTTGGAGACATGATGAAGTAGGTAGCCGAGAATGTTATTATACGAGATGGAATCCATTCCTTCTTGAGAAAGAAATAGATAAATAATTCTTTTGAGGGTTGATTCGGTACTTAAACCAGTAGGAGCTCCGATTCATGAAAGTGTTTTATAAATCACTGTCCATTAGAGAATCAATGGTACTCAAGGATAAATATGTAATTAGAGAGGTTAACGGATTTTACCTAGCTCTAATTATGAATTATTTATGGAGGATT